GCAGGAAAACAGTGGAGAGCAGAGTTGGTCTCCGAGGTGAGCTGTCTCGCTGTGCTGCTGATGAACTTTGCTTTTCCCTTTTGTGCATCTGATTCTGACCACGGACCAGCAGGTCATTGTTGTCCCGGGGTGGTCCTACTGGGCAGACGCCCCGTCCCAGACCTGAAAAAATCATGCGTGACTGTGCACAGACTCCTCAGCCAGTCTGTACTTTACATAAAATGAAGATCAAATGTGTCCGCCTCTGATCTCTCCCGTTTATCAGTAGTTATTTATTTAAGCTGAGCTGTCTCCCACCTGTGGGCAAATGAACCTGATTTTGGCTGTAAAACTTCAAGAAGGGACCAGGCTTATGGGTGTTATCAAAAGGGCTGAAGAACAGTCACACTTCTTAATTTGGGTGCATTGTTTCCAAGCTTGTGCACGGAAGTGGGAGGTGTCTGCTTGGGGGGTTAGTTTGGCTGGAAGAGAGAAGGCGAGGCAAAGCAGAAAGATTAGTAAAATGAGACAGGTGCCCTCTAGTGATAGAAGTCGGTGGCTACCGCTCAGCTGAGTCCTCGCACATGGCTCTGAGTCACGTTTCTATTTGATTCAGACATAAAACACATTCCTTCAGCTGTAGTCAGTTTTCTTTCTGTTAGTGGTGGATTGTTTGGGCCTGTCCAGTAGCTTGTGTGTACTGTGCTGGTGAAGCAGGGTGTAGCTGATCTCCTGGTCGCTAAACTGCCTCGTAAATGCCTGGAAATCTTGGCTGCAGCTGCTGGAAAGTGGAGATTATTTTGTATTATTATCCCTGAGCTCTTTGTTGACAACAGAGACTGGAAGGTTGAAGCCACAGGCCTGGGTGTTATCTGAAGTGTTTCTGCTTGTACTCACAGAAACAACTTTGTACTATAAATTTGTTCTAATTTAAAAAAAAGAAGCCAAAGTTCTTTGACTAAAGAATGTTACTGAAGTAAATTGCGTAAAGTTTTAACATAATCAAACTTCCAGTTTTATCCGATCAACGGCCAAAAAAACCCAGAGGATGTTTCCTGTGCTAGAAAAATATGAAAACTAACAAATATTGACACGTGAGGCTGCAGGTGGGTTTTTAACATTTTAGCTGAAAACACAAGGCTTGGACAGGTCACCGTTTATCAAAACTGTTGCACATTGGGGGAAGGAGGAGGCATGACAATGGGAAAGCAGGGGAGCAGGGGTGGAGGTTGGCGGCAGAGAGGAGGGGAAAGGGGAACTCGGGGCCTGAGCAGAGGGGGAGGAGGGGAGACAGAGATGTTTATAGTTGCTGCGTCAGAGCGCTGGCAGCAGACAGTCAGCTGACAGTGCGCCTGCAGGACGGACTTCGGTCACCCGCTGCAGGGGAAGGCTCCGTCCCTCCCTCTTCCTCCTCTTCCTTCTGCAGCCAGACACATTTACATTGACTGCCTCTGCCGGGTCGCTGTCTGTCTGGAATGTGTGTTTGCTGATCGGGCGGCATGGAGAACAGCTCTGTGGACAAGCAGGAGTGCGAGCCTGCTGCAAACTGCTGGAGAGAACAGGGTATACCTCTGCCTTTCTGTCCGTCTCTGTGGCTTGTTTGACAGTTTCTCAGCTGTGGGTAGAGCAGGAGAGCAGCCTCAGTGTGTGGAAGGTGAAAACAATGCCTAATAGCTTATTTTTGTTGCTTTAGTTCTTTCACACTGATGAGAGGCTGTAGGACATAGACGTTCGATGCTCATTAGATGTGAACTGACTGGCAGTACAGTCGGTCACTGCAGCACTTTCGCCTCTGTTCCCCTGCCTGTCCATCGACTCTGCAGCTTAGGCAAGAAGGGCTTTGGAAACTTTGAGACCAGAGATAACAAAATGTTTAGTATTTTCCTTTGGTAGCCATGAAGAGATGGTGTCTTGATGTTGAATGTTTCACTCAGTACTAGGATCATATTGCGTCAAAAGATGAAATGTAGGAGGAAGGGCAACTTGTTCATCTTTGTCATGTTTTTCCTCTGGGAGACTACGTCTGGTCCAGATGTACTGGTTGTGACCTCTCTACTGTTCTTGCTCATGTACTGGGAGGACTCGGAGAACCACAGGGTTTTCTGGACTGTGTGCGGGTCTCGTCCTTGTGCGACTGCAACAGCTACGGGGCCGTTTTCTGGCAGAGAGAGAGGACCTTTGGACTCTCAGCCACTGTGACTA